CATCTCGATACTCTTCGAAAGAAATCGCCTCTTTTCCAAACGATCCAATGCTTCGCAGGATCTGCACCAATGGTTTCCTGGATGTCTTTCTTTTCATTCGGTTGATCATTTCTTTGGTGCTCTGTCAATTAAAATTTGGAGCTTGCAAGTGAACAGAAGATTTCAATAGGTTCATTTTCCTGGAACCATCATGAGTAAAGTCGCTGGGTCTCGTATGTGGCCGCGACTTTTTAAATAACGGTGTCAAACAGTAACTCTGACCCACATTCAACCACTTTTCCAGTTCTTTAAATTCCGGGACTCAGCCGAATCGATGGACGAAGTACCATAACCAATACGAATTTGGGGTCGATTTGACTTCGAACAAAAGCACCACCTATTGCTGTGCAATTGCTTATTATGATAGAAATCGTGTTGAACGCCCTAACACAATGCATCCAGTCATCTTGACTCGCGTTACCATGACCGTAAAATTGACAGATGAATACGGAAAAGGAAACAAATATGCGCTTTTCGACAAGTGATATGAGTTGCGCGGTCATTGCTGAATTTGGTTTGAGTATGATAATCGTATGAGTATGATAATAGACTCGAAGAAGTCACTGATTTCTCGGTCGCAACGTTTTGGGCATGCTATTTTACCGCTTTTGTGACATACGCCGTCATACCATAAGGTAGTAACTCACAATTTCACCCCTTCTTCAGTTTCGTTAATTCAATCCGTGCTTCATCATCGTATCACCATCCTGGGGCATCACTTAATCAGACGCGGCCTCAACGTAACAATAGAACAATGGTATAGTACCAGTAAATTAGCCTAGGCTTGACAAGTCCCGTGAGATGGTTTGCGTGAATTACATTAGGGCAAAGAGTGTGGCAGCCAGGTGAAACGCGCATCTGTGAACTCACCATAGTATCCAAGTATTTCGCTTTAGCCCGATTTTATGGGGGTTGATGTGCACAATGTAAGTCCTTTGGGAAATCACTAAAGCTCCAGGTATCTCCTTATCTTCATCTGTTAAAGACCAACGCTGCATATCTTTAACCGTCTAATTTTGCACTGTGGTGTCACACGGAGCCAACTGTGCGGTGTCTATCCAGTCTCGGTTGGTTCCTGAGGTACGACATGTCGCACGTGTATTCAGTGGCCGGTTTTGGATCGGCTCAGCCGTATGACTCGTAGTCCACGGATCGCCGGTTCTAGCTGCCGTAGATGAGGGTAACACCGCAATATTGCAAAGGTGTACGCAACCGCCAGTAATCACTTAACAGCAAAGTCAGCACGAGGTAGTACTGGGGCACTGCTGCTGTCATTCTACAGTACACTTACCATGGAATCGTGCAACTGGGTGCTCCTAAATACTATCACTAAGCTGGAACTCCAAAAAATCTTTGACTTGTTTCATAGTCCAAATCGTTTGTCAATGTGCATCAGTGTTGTGGCGATACTTGGTTACCTGCTTGCATTTTCTTACACTTTTTATGAATATCCCCTACCGTGCCTTTGTTTTGTACTCTCTTCTCAACTGGGATTTTCTGCTGTCGTAAACCATTTGCATATCAAATCGATAGATAACCGTATTTCTCACTTTTTCAGCCCATCTAACCTTCGACGGTCGCCACTCGGATCATTGAACACTAGATTTACGGCGTCGCAAGCAGTTACAAAACTCGACTACTCCGTCGATCGTTGCAACCCCCCTCATGATATTTTTAGCATCGGAACAGGCTTATCCTCCTGGAGACAGTCTATCAACATTTTTCTCCGTCCGGTACCTGTAGGAATGCGTGGTACTATGTCCTTTCTTACTTAGACACAATGGTACGTGAAATTATGACAGCAGTCAGTCTTCCTCTGGATGCCTCGGAAGAGGAAGTGTATAAGCAACTGTTCAGGTTTTTCTTGTCCAACAGTGCTCAGTAGAACGTGTGTTCGACACACGTTCATGGGAGCCGTTCCACATACGTCACCCAACGCACACCCCATCACTCAGCCCGCACCAAACAGTGCACTTTCACATAGCATTCGACGACCGATGCTTGTCCAACATCATTTCGCCACCAGCCTCCAAAGATTGATCTTCAAGCATCCGACATTAATATTTTCAAGCCTACCGCTATCCCGATGATCCCTTTCACACCCTCAACGGCATCACAGCCTGCAGCCCTGTTGCCTCGCAATTTCCTTTCCCATGGTCGTTGATAACAGATTCGGTTCCTGCAGCTGTCTGAGCCTCGAAAATTATGGGCTTCTTTAATCTCAGAGGAGGTCTCATCCTTGAACGATTTCGCGGTAGTTGTTTTGCAATCCACACTGCTTCTTTGTGTGTCCGTGTACAGGAAATAACACTTAGTTGGGACAGCCAAGCTCCTGTACCTATACTGAGCGTTTCCGATTCCTCCATCGTTTCTGACTGCACGGTGCAGACACGTGTGTCAACTGTTCACATAAATTGCGGCGTAGTTGCGAATTCAACCGTGGGAATCCTTCAGAGACAGTACGGCTGCCCTATACTGCACGGGGAATGTTGTGCTTCTGCCCTCATCATATTATGTCACACGAAGTTTGGCACATCAGACATTTGAGCACCATCCGCCGAAGTGTGTTCATGATCAGAAACCGGCAAAGACCCCGAATCCCCATGCGCTCTACATTACCAGCCAGTTTACCACCACGATACACCTCACTCCCACTCCTTTTCCTCTTCGTCTCCCATTGTTTTTTTGGGGAAATGCGAAGTTATCCGAACATTTGGAAGACTCAGTCGAACACTGAGTCATGTGTAAGTGAAACCGCGTGCTTTGCCTATTCTAACTTATCGCCGTTTGTTCTCGTCTTAACAGCAGCCACGATCGCTGATCGATATGCACCTTCAAACCAAAACGTGTTGGCCAGGCCAAGTTGCCTGCCTGTTATAGTCCTAGCCCGTCTGCCGCGTCGAACATGACGTACACACAATGGAGGGCTGATGGAGCGATATTGATTACCTGCTTACCTGGTTGTATTTGGTTGCACTTTCTACAAATATACTCTACAGTGCGCTTGCCATGTTCTCAATTCTCTGCTCGGCTGTTAGGCTGTCGTGACCCATCCGCATATCAAATAGAGAAATTACATTATCTTTCCGTTTTTAGCTTGCCGGACGTGCAACGAACTCCACTCGGACCATCGCGTACTGCATTGTCCACAGTTAGCTCTATTTTTCTTCTCGAAACTAGCTATGGGTTTGTGTTTCACTGATTGCGCAGATTGTTGTTAAACCAGACTTTTGCTGTGCCAATTTTAAACTAAATACTAAACTGCCAAACCGCACTACTCAATTGTGCCTAGCATTTGAAATATTAAATTTTGCAAACATCGGCTCACTGATCGAGCAGGTATTAGATGCACCGAGTACTGCCCACTCGTTTCGTTTATGTTAGTGTTGACTCCGGAATCTAAGTGCATTCGGTCTAATCGCCATCATCTATGTCGGCACTATACTGGCAAATAGAAGCAAGTTGGGAAACCTGGGGTATGGAAAGTAAGCAGTTTTAAGATCTAAGAACAGAAATGGACATACTCGTCAGCCGAATAGCTCAACAGGTAAACCCAGTGGGGCTGCTGACTACATCACGTCAGTGCGTCCCAAACTATTAGTGAAGTTGAATACTGTATTGTTGGAGCGAGTATAAATTTAAATCTATAAGTCCATCGAAGTCTGACTAAATATGTCAACAACTATTCATGCCCCGTCAACTCCCTGATCGTTATTCAAGTTCGCAAGTGATATCATAAAGACAACGTATAACTCACAGCAAATTGAGGGCGCAAACGTGTGAGATATCATGGTTAGTATGTAACTGTCCTCGGAATATAACATTGCAGGAATTCCTATCCAACCATGTTTTACACTGCTGCACTGAATCTGCTTCTACGTTTGCGCCGGTAAACTACTGCAAACATTCATCACTCCGGTCAAAGAACGGGGGATGGGGAACTCGCTTCAAATCTGGAATAATAATAGTGATAATAATAATGATATGTCAGCTGTATGCTGCTGCCGTGCGACCACCACCAGTCGCACGCGGGCTGAGTATACCGCGAGGACGCGCACCCCTCCGCGGATTCGAACCCGTGCCGCAAGATTACGAGACAAGCTCGTTACTTCTTGGCTACGAACCTACTTCAGATCTGGAATCATAACCTTGTACTGGAGTAATTGCCTCAACATGGGGAAGTCACCTGGAGGCAGGATACTCTAAGTCACCATGGGGTCGACTCGCACCCGACGGTAGGACAAGGTGCACAGTCCCACTCTCTGGTGAGGTAACCTTTCCATTTCGTGCTTCGAGCTTTTTCCATCATTTTCCACGTAGCATTTTGTCGCACCCTGCTGGATTTACACTTTTTCCTCTCGGCTTGGCGAGTTCCGTATTCTGAAAGCATTTTCTCTGGAATAATTTTAGCAGAGATTTTTTCTACCGGATTTACAAATTTGGACAATTTTTCACCCTTATTCAATCGTGGACTGTCGCTCAGTTTCAACCATCCACCCAGGATTTTTACTGCTTTCCATAGAGGAGTCTCCTAGCTTTCGATTAAGCCTTCACGCGTCTCATTCTACCATCATTTGGTACAGCTACAGAGCAAACTACGTTCCCATTGTGAAACCCTCTCAGGGAAGACACCATCAAATTTTGTCACTCCTGCTTAAAGCTGGTGCGATCAATCGACCAGCCCAGCAAGATAACTGGTTACGCTAGACACCCCACCAGCGTTCGTACGATGCACGGACGCAACACACAAAGCACGATGAGCCAGTCACCTGACGATGCGCGACCGAGCGCTTGCCGATGGCGAGGCGATGCATACCCGCAAAACAGACAACGGCCATTCGACCATCATGGTCGAAACGAAGTATTTTGTACCGATCAAACATGGACTAATATATTAAAAGTACTGCTGAAGTGTTCCCATTGCACTAGCCATTAACAACCGAAGTGTATCAGTCTGTCAAACCGAAATATAATATATAACCGAAATGCAGCCAAAAAGGCACGCGCGCGTGCGCTACGAGGCAAGAATCAGGATCGATTTCGATGGTCATGTGCCCGTCGAACGGTTCAAACTCAGACTGA